AGGGGGAGAGCGCGCATTACCCCTCACGCGGCGCCCCACCATCGCTCCCGGATGCGGACCCCCACGTCGGATGGTGGGGCGCCGACGGCTCCCGGAGTGGGGAGCTGCTGGCGGAGAAGTGCTGCTTGCCGCCAACTCGGGCCGATCCCTCGTGGTGGGGAGAAAGCGCGGGTTAGCAGCCCGGACACGCCAACCGTCGGATTCAGTAAGCGAACGGCTCTCAACGGCCACGAACGTGTTTTTCGTTCTTCGGTTCCCGCGCATGCATATATATATATATACACGTAACGGCGATATATATATATATGTGTAACTATCCGAGACTGACCCGCGAGAAACAACACTCGTCGTCGGGAGTAACGCAGTCGGTGATCGGCGACGACGTGACGACCAACAGTTAGTCAGATCGTATAACAGCAGCAACAACAACAGCTTATACACCGCGACACAGATCCGCTTTTTTCGAGTAATTACAACCTATCCGTCAAATCATCCATCTCCGCGATCAAAACAAAAAAAAAATAAGAAAAAAAAGTTCTTCCATCCCGTTCTACAAAAAATTCCCCCGTCATTTCGGTTTCGGTCCTTCAACTTCGTTCCCGCAACTGTGGCTTCAATCAATCAAACTGGATTCCAACAAGCAGTACGTGTCGCGATTACTTCGCGGCTACCGGAGGCTTAAGAAATTATTCAAGGTAAGAGATCCGTCTTCCTTTTTGGCGAATCTTGCATATCGCGAGTCGCCCTCTTCGATTTCTTCCTTTCTCTCTCTCTCTTCTCTTTCTCCCTTACGGATCGAAGGGACCGCGCGATAGATTTTCGCGCGCGTATCCGGCCGTGCAGTGGCATGGTGTAGTCGCTAAATCGCCGCGCGGTAGTGCGAGTGTCTTCGACAGAAGGACGGTGTGTGTGGTGGTGAACCGCGTATCGAAGAATCAGGGTGCCTCGATAGATTCGCGCGAACTCGCTCAGCTTCGCTTCTCCGTGACGCTCCGGGGATCGATAGTGTATCTCGAAACGAGGTAAAAATTATAAGCGAGCAAGCTCACTAGAATGTTTTTAATTTTATTGGTCAACACTTGGTGAATTTGCTCACTTTAGGAATTTTCATCTCGTTTCCCCCGGAGCGAGTAGAAATCTGTCGGGAGAGAATAGATATTCCGACTTGGCTCGAACGTACAGATAGCGCGGGAGAAACGCGCGTGATAAGTTGGCATGCGACGAGGATGACGAGGCTGTTTGTAACGCCGACGTTTCAGCTAAGTGCTAGACGATCTAGCGCTTGATTGTGCATCACGCGACTTTGGTGAAAAACATAAAAATGAACGAATTTTTGCTACAGTATTTATCGTATCATTGGTAAACACCCAGAGAATTTGCTCGCTTTTGTGTTATTACATGACTTGATGAAAATCATAAAAATGAGCAAATTTTTACTAGATTATTTATCGTTTCATTGGTAAACAGCCAAAGAATTTGCTCGCTTTTGCATTATCATACGGCTTGGCGAAAATCGCAAAATCACAAATCTACTAAAACGTTTATGATTTTATTGGTAAACATTTAGTGAAGTTGCTTTGTAATTTTTATTTTTATAATTATCACAATTTGGTGGGAATTACAAAAAGAAATTTACTGAAACATTTACATGTCGCGTGCTTGCACTTTGCAACGCCCAAGTACATTTATCTCGTTTTAAGTAAAAAATTTCTAGGATTTCAACCAACGCAAACAAATCTTATGATCGAGTGAATTTGCTCATAGTGAATTCGATCCGCTTTAGTAATAGTACTTTACTTTTGTAATTTTCACCGAGTCGGGTGATGCACATTTGAACTCTGGCGTTCGCTTTTTGCTTTCTGGAAGATTGGCGGGAAGCCTCGCGACATCTTACGTGCGATCAGAAGTAGACGCATTTATACAATGCTCAGCCGAGAGCGAGTTATCGCGCTGACTCTCGACGAGGCAGCCTCGTCGCGAAGTCCACTTTCGCAACGCTGGCGAACAATGTCAATTATCACGACAATCGGAACGAGGATACACCCGTATATATATGTAGATCGATCGATAAATAAATATGTAGACAGTCTCCGCGGTGTTTACGCGACGGATTATGGCGAGGCTCGTGAAGTATGCGAGATTCGAGGAAGAGCGAAACTTGTCCATTTCGGAACAAGGGGGAACGGTGAAATAAATAACGGGGGACAAGAGAGAGAGAGAGAAGAGGTTATTATTCTGCCCCGCAGCATGAATAATTTACACTCACTCAAATTTAAATAAATTCGCCCGCCACCGCCGTTGTCGTCGTCGTCGTCGTCATTGTCGTCGTCGTTGTTGTCGGCTCGAAAAACCGTAAGCGCGTAATCTCGACGTCGGTTCGATGGTTGTTTACGATCGCGCGTTGCGCGCAGTTAATTTTAAACGAATTCGCCGGATATCGTCGCCGGGTATCTCGTCTCCGTTCGTTATCGCCTGGTTATTTATGTTATTCCGTGAAATTACTTAGAAGCCCGTCAATTAGGTCTCCAACCGATGCAGCGGTCGTAAACAACGTGTGACGTAAGCTGGACATACCGCGGTATTATAGCAAATAACGAGGAACGGATGAGCGATAATATTCGCGGACTGGCAAAACATTATTCCATGTCGAAAAATCGGAAGGGGAAAAAAAAAGAAAGATTTGTCAGGCCGCCCTCGAGTTGGCTGCCGATACCGATAATCGATCGCAGCTTCTAACTTCGCCGGATTCATCCAGGAAAGATCAGTTTTGTTGAAATATTTAAAAATTTAGCTAGATAAATTTGAAAATAATTTTGTTTGGATCTCTTCAAAATAATTATGCAGAACACTTAAACTGGAACTTGCTAGAACGTAACTTTTTGCAGCATTGTCATTAACGTTTAAGTGTTCTACATAATTATTTTGATGATTGAACAAAATTATTTTCAGTTTATATATTTAGCTAAATTTTTAGATACATGGAAGAACGATTTTATTGAAGCATCTAACAATGATACAAATATTTGAAAATAATTTTTTGAAACGTCAAAATAATTACATAGGAATTTCAAGCATGATGAGCAATGCTCGTGCAAGAAATTTTGACATTTCTAGCAGTTTGAGCGTTCTACATAATTATTTTTATTATTTAACAGAATTATTTTCAAATCTGTATGTAGCTAAATTTTTATTGGGTACTTCAACAAAATCTTTTCGTGTACAGTCCTTGTTTTCAGTGCGTTCGACGATTCCGATAGCAGAATATCGCGACCGAGTATCAGTTGGGCGACATCCTCTCATGGCCGAAAATAAAAATAAAAAAAAAGGAAGGAGAAGAGAGCGAGCGATTATGGAAACTAACGGAGGCCGTAAGGTCGTCGTTGGCGATCGTGACACGTGAACTGCGGATGACCGAGCGAGATTCCGTCACGCCCGCATACGAGGAGAGGATATGTCGCAGTATAAGCGCGTCCGCCGATGATGTCCCCCGACACACGAAAAACATGTTTGGTCCGCGACCGGTTGTTTATACGATATATGCCATGTGAAAGCAAACACTTTAAAGATCACCGAAGCGGCGTCGGGAGCTCGATCTTCGTCCCGGGATGCGTTATCTTTGGTGACGGTCGCGACGCAAATAAAAAAAAGGAGAAAAGAGATAAAAAATAGAGAGGGGGGGGGGAAAGGAAATTGAGAAAGGATTTCTTTACTGGATTTCGAACTGGCGAAACGTATTCGGCAATTATTCTCGTCTCGACGCAAACCTAAATAAGACCTTACGTGAAACGCGTCACGGTGGATAATAGCTCCCGCTAATGTATCGCAACGCAAATACCAACATGGGCGAAATTACGATCTACGCGTGCCCGTAGCACCTTCGGATTAAACCACCCGGCCCCGGTGTGCTGGTAGCGCATAATTCTCGAAACTTTGCCTTGGTCGTGATGCAAGGAACGCGGGGAAACTCCTGCAGCCTTTACCTCGGGAGTTGCATGCGAATTGAAAAACAGTTGAGGGTATACTCGCATAACTAACGGTACCGTACGTTATCGCCACTAGCTTTTGACAACGTCGTTATGTACTCTGTATTTATTTCTGATTACATATCGCTCCAGTCAAATTCCTTCCCTGTATCATAATATATAACAGTGGAGGTATAATTAGCGTGTTGATCACGATTAGAAAATCGATCGATGTATCCCCAATTTCTTAGTTTTATGGTATTATTTTGTTTACCTCGAGTGGCATCGCATGTCGCACTATTTCGCAGTTTCGTTAATCCATGTTAATATCCAGTTTAGCGCTACTTATGCACGCTTCACGGCAATAACGATACACACTTGTATTAGAAACGTTATTGCCGCACCTCTTGACTTTTCCCATACCGATCGGAATGCACATCACCGAGCGGTTCGTGTGCATTCCACGATCCGACAGGAAGATCACCCTCGGAGACTAACTATTGTCTGCTCCCGAGGCGGATCGCAACAAAGTCGAAATGTGTTTAAGGTCGACTGTTGCTCTGTCGAGAATCGTACCTCCGAAACTTTTCTAGTACACAAACGGCTTTTTTTTTTCCATCCAGCGGAGAGACTCTGTAGCTCGCCTACCTTTAGCATTCAGTCTCACGCTTTAGTGCTATTCACCCATTGTACAGAAACATGTTTCCTTCTCACTCACTGGACCCTTAATTAAAGGAAGAACCGATGGAACGAAATGTATATTGGCAAATGATTTCGTTACCTGAGGGGCTTTGACCAATCTTTTATTTTCGCAAATAACATTTTGCGGAGGGAACGAACCTCCCTCCACTGAGTTATAAATATAAAAAAAAAAGGCTACGGTCGATACAAACACTTGACACAATGCTGCACGGCATCATTTATCGCGTTCCTTCCACGAACGATGATATTGCTGATCTGTACTTTGTACTTATCGCCAATTTTTACTTGACGGCTTTAACAGCTCTCCCCCTCCGCTCTTTATTATCTATTATATCACCACTCGCGTGCGCTCTATCGCGTACACTATGCACTTCGTACTTTCGCTTAAAATATCTACTTATCGCGTAATCTAACAAATATTTTCTCTTGCTTTCTCGATTAATTAACGAGTATCAATTTAACTTCTCTGAATGAAGAATAATACAAGGATAGATGTATTCTCTTCGCGTATATATACTCGTATTCTTTTTTGTTATGATAATTCGACTTTATTCTATCGACGTTTATTTTTAAGTCTACCTTCGTCTTATAGCCTTCGACGAGACGAAGGCTTATGCCGTACCAGAACGTTGTGTCGCGGGGGCAAACCGTATTCTATTCAATTCCACTCGCTCTCGTTCTCTCCTCGTCGAACGAACGCTTTTATTCGTCGGCATCGGCGGCGCGTGATCCAATTTAACCGCGCTCGTTCGCGACATGTTTCTCAGCGTCTGCGAATGCAAAACATCTCATTCACGGGCAAAAGTGCTGGCCGCCTGCGCCAATAGGCGTAGTCCCTTACCTGCGAGAGCGGCAAAAACGAGAGTAGTGGCGCGCGAGCGCGCGAGAAAGAGACGGAGCGAGAGGTCGAGAAACGCGGGAGGAGAGAAGGAAGGAGGCAGACGACGACAACGACGGCGGCGGCGGCGGCGGCGGCGGGTATATAGAGAGAGCGTCGCACTCTCCTTCGCCTCCCTTCGTCCTCTGTCCGC